TATTATAAAATAAAAAATAAAAAATTAATCTATTTTATATTTTTTATCTATATATTTTAATTTTAATTTATATTAAACTTTTATATCTGTAATATTTATATAAAAAAATGATTTAGTTTTACATTTAGAGTTTCTTTCTTCAATATTTTCTCACGTGTTCTCGTCTTTCAAAATCATATAAAGATTATAAAGGACATAGCATATAAGAGTCAATATTAATAATTCTGAATGTAAAAAGTCAAGACATAGAATATATTACATTATTTAAATTCGAAAAGATATATTAGTTACTACATGTTTCGGCTCTTGAATTGAGCCATCTTCAGCTAATATAATAAACGTAGTAAAAATTTTGTACTGTCTACTACTATGAAAAAAATATTAGAAATCCGAAATATATTTATTTTTCGTATTAAATGAACTTTTTGAAATCCTTGTATTTTTGCCGTATATCCCATAGGGATGAGATATATGGCTATTCATAGGGGGAGAGGGGGGTATGTACGGCTCATGATAAATATGTATATGAAGTAATAAATAATAATTACAATCTTCCTACATATATTACAAGTGTTATGACATGAGGTACATATTTTATGTAATGTATTTATTGTATTTAATGCACTAAATTCAATCTGCGCACTTGTATGCTTCGGACATAAATCCCGTCCGTTAAAAATGATGTATATCCCAAACAGGTGGGATATACAAAATAACAAACTAAACAAAGAATACGAAAGCAAAGCACTTGTATTTTGCTATAAAACATGCTTTACTATTCCTCTACACGTATGTATCACGAAATACCACTAAGTCTTTTACACGTCGCGTCCAATAGTAATCATTTTATGTAGATTATAACTTATGATGGCGCTACTTATTACAGTGACAAATTTGATTCAACTCACAATAATTTCATTAATATTAACAGTAAGAAGCTGAAATCATAACACAATACTAATATAACATAAAGGCGTGTAACAGAGTAGTTGAGGGAAAATTACCCTTAACTTTTTCTATTTTTTCTGACTTCGGCGGCGTAAATCCTAGCGCGGCGTATTTGCCGGAGTTACTCTACATTTTTTTACACTATTGACGTAATTCTTTTAATCTTTTCTTATAACTATTGCAGCAGTTGGTTGATTAGGTATTTTTTAAACAAAACGATTATAATGAATAAAACGGTGGCGTTTACGACAATTGTGTGCGTCAGCAATATAATTGCTTAATTTACTGTTTCAGCAGATATCATTTAATGTAACGTGGCATTAATGTCACTTCGCAAAATGATTAATACGTCATAATATTAAACTGTGGTATATTGTTCACTGATATTCGATAGTGGTATATCATTATTAGAAATAAATTATTCATTTTTCAGACATTAATAATATTCATGCCTTAAATGATCCTTTTAGGGATGTGCAAAAATCATCAATATTTAGAAAACATCGAGGTTTACCTATCAATTTTCGATATTTTGCCATCGATGTCGCAAGCTAAGATATTTTGATGTTTCATGTATCGATGTCTTGTGTTCGATGGCTGTGTTGAGTTTGTTTCAAAATTCACTGTCAGAGACGCCAGACGACCAGACAGTTATAATAATATGTATTTTATTTAAAGTGTTAAAAATATAACGTTATTAAATATTTTTAGTATTAATTCTTATTACTTATTATCTCAAATGTTTATATGATTCAATAATAAATATATTTTATAATTAATTAGTTTTACCCTATAAGCGCAAAATATTCCTATGTTATATAAATATTATTAAAAAATTAAAATAATATTATAATATTTCGAGAATATTACATAATATTTTTAATATTATGCCTTTTATATGATAGTTACATAAATTACATTATAAATTAAAGTTTTATTGCAAAAGAAAGAAAAAGAAACATCGACGTGCTTAAGAAACATCAATGTTGTACGATATTTTCTATCATCGATAGCATGTTTCGAGGTTAACTTCGATGTCAAACATCGAGGTCATTCTTGTCGATGCACATCCCTACTTTTGTTCATAGATTTCAAGCGTTATATAATTTTTTAATTTATTTGAAAATTATCTTAAAATTAATTGTGTGCAAGATATAATAATTTGTTACTTTTTTGTTATTAAAAAATAACATAAAAATAAATTAAACAATACAAAGACTCTTGATATCAAATTAACAATATAAATAATAGAAAGGGCATGTAAGAGTTAGTTATAAAGTTCGTACAAATAAAAGGTTAAAAATTCAAACAAAGATGATTATCAAGGCTAAAAGGTTAAAAAAGTTTTTGAAATAGAAATATAAAACTATAATTAAGTTAACTTAAAATTGAAACAATGGTTATAACATAATATAACATGTTTCGGCTGTCAGTTTGAGCCTTCTTCAGATGTCATAAGCGAGTATACTGTACATCGAATAACTATAGAAAAATTATACGTGCGTTATACAATGCCCGATGAGTGCTTCACACTTTCACAGAGTATACGAATTTGCTCGCAAAGGATTGGAAGATCGATTGTTGGTGAATTCGATAAAAAATCTAGTTCTTATTATTTTTTAGAACATTAAAGAATAGGATGTTAGAGAGTAATTTTAAATAAAACAATATATAGATTCGTTTGTAAAAAAATTTAATGAATAGAAGAATCGGACTAATATGATCTAATAATATGGATACAATAATTGTTACGATACAATAATTATTTATGGTTGTTTCATATATTTTTGTATAGTATCTTTTAGGTATAATATTCATAGCATTGTGATATGATGCGTTTGGATCGTCATGTATATCTATTATCGATATCAGGAGCAGAAAGGATAATTTTACGATCGAATTATTTGTATATTAAATATACTTGCATTTAAGTGTACATTAAATATATGTATTGCAAATAGTCACGGTCAAAGTAATTATTTTATTCCTGTCTAATGCATGCTTTTACTAATTTGCGAGCATTCTTGTAAAGTTTGTTTCATTTGCAATTTTTGTTGATCGACTTTTTTGCAACATATGGATTTGCAACTAAGCTAGGTTACCATTCATCCTGATGTAGCAGGACATATCTCGATTTTGGATGATTTTGAAAGAGAGAGAGAGAGTTCTGATTTATTATTTTTAAAATAGGTGAAATATCCTAATTTACCGCCGATAAGTAAACTTGCGCTTTGTTTGCTTGCTTATATTACTCTGTAAATCTCTTGAAGTGAATCTCACTCCAAAAGACTGAAAAGTGAGCAATCTTTGAAAAAGAGTGAAAATATTTTCACCGTTGGAAAAGAGTGGCATTTCACTCTTTTGAAATGAAATTTAACTTTCTTAGAGCGAGATTTCCTCCAACGAACGAAATCTCACTTAAAAAAAAGGAGTGAAGTTTTATTCTTTTGGAGGGAATCCCACTTCAAAAAAATAAAATCTCACTCCAAAGGAGTGAAAATTTCTCGCTCTTTTTCCAAGGTGAAAATATTTTCATTCTTTTTTTAAAGATTGGCTTAATTTTCAGTCTTTTGTGGAATGAGATTCCCTCCAAAGGAATAAAAAAAATCTTACTCCTCTTTATTCCAAGAGACTCAAAGAGTATTTTTACACAAAAAGAGTCACTTATTTCGTAGGTGTCCTGATTTTTTGTGCTGGTTATAGGTATAAGGTGGTAACCTTAACTGAGTATGATACTTTTTTTTTAATTAATATTTACTAAAAAAATATTTATCTTATATTAATATTTACTAAATATAATAATATTTACTAAATATTTGTTTCATATTGATACACATGTTGTATATATCTCATTACCATACAATTGTTTGAAATTACAGCTTGCATCTTGACTTTACATAAACTTGACTTAACGTTTACGTAAAATCGAGAAACATGTGTTAAAAAAAATGATATTCTCTCTTAAAAAAATGATAAACTCTCTTAAAAGAGATAATAAATATAAAGTATAAAATAGTATGCCTTTTTAATAAAATATAGGGTACAATTTAGAGAACATAGTTTAAATATAAATGATATTCTGTATGAGTTTCTCATATGTAGTTTAAAGAGATAATTCCAATCTTGTCACATATAGTAACACGATTAGAAGTTATTATGCTTGCGCAAAAATATAAATTCCGTGATTTTTCTGTAACTTTAATCGAGCAGTTTTAATATTGACATATGCATTGCGCCAAAAATTTCGTATAAATGCACACTTTACATTTACATAATATGTGTCCGATGACAAAAGCTACGCTTGAAGGACGCGCCGCGTCACTTTAACGTAGCGATCAGTCCAGATTCCAGTTAGTTTCACCTTCTCCTTCCCCATTTAACTTCGATTTGGTTTTGCATTACAGGCAAAAGTCAAGAATGAAGGACCAACGGCGAGACGGCGAGTGAAAGTGAAGCTGGGGGAACGTACGTGGACCAGGTGTGAAAGTGCAGTGCGTAATACGAACGTAAGAAACACGTGGTGTGGTAGTACCTGTCGAAATCGCTATCGACAAGACAACGACGGGGGACAGACAGTAGTGATGATAACGAACAACGATAATGATGACGCAGCTGTGTGTTCAATGCGAGAACAATGCCCAGTGCAGTGACGGTAGATGATGATAATAATGATGATGATGATGACGATGATGATGATGATGATAATGACCTCCTGTACACGCAATATTCATTTTGGGTCAACGTGCTTACAACTGTTAATTAGAGCATATATAATTAATTAGTAATTTCTAGTGGATTATCTAAGCTTTTTTTATTCCACTTTTATTCGGCTGATGATCGATAGCTTCATTCATCAGTCGGAAATTGACTGTTCGAAGACTCTAGTTCGAATATCGAGGACACCAATCCTAATAAAAGTGTGATTAAAACAAAGAGCCTTTTACATAAACATTATTTATAAAAAACAGCTGAAGTAATGTGATTGATTCAATAAGTGTCTTATTATTAGCGTTACATTAAGTGAAATTGTTTTATCGATTAACAGTCTCGAAAGAAGATTATTTTTTTTTATAACGTGAATAAATCGAAGAATAAAGATGAAGTTCATTGCATCTTTGTTCGGGACGAGGTCCCCGAAGGCGATGGGGAGGCAGTACATGAAAGTTGGCAGAAACGCTCTTTTTGGTGTGACAAATGATAACAGTGACAATATTTATACGGAAAAGGTGCCAAGGCCGCTGTCCTTGCTAATCTCCAGGAAAGGAAAGCTTAGACATGGTGAGTAACTAGTTTTATTTGTCGATAAACTACTTTAAGTTTTATTTAAAGCAGAAACTTGTTGCGCTCGAAAATTTCGCAACTTTTTTATTTCTATCTTTGATTCATAAATACTGTTTTTTTTTATTATATTATATATTTATCTAAAGCATTAATTATTTGAACTTAATCTTGAAACATAAATAGGTTAAGCAATGACAAGGTTTACTCTTGCATAATCCGATTAATCCGTTCTAAACCACGATTCTCTCTTAACTGCAATTTTCTGCCGCGACTAATGATAATACGTTGTTCGATGCTTGCGAACTCGTGCCGGCAATCAGACCGGAACAATATTACAGCATGAGTAGTAAATTGCCATTGTTCATTCGACACTTTCCTTAATTAGTCGTTATCTGAAAGGTAGTCGATTTAGCGTTAATTGATCTCTATAAGATATTCTGCTAATAATGTATCATTTGAATACGCAAGTCATAGTAATCGTCAAAGAAATGTGATGTAGATGTATGACAAACAGTTTCTTCATGGTGAGAATTGTTAAAGTACATACCGGATGCTTTGAAAATATCTGAATTTATTCAAATTTATTTATTTTTTATAATTTATGAATTTTTAAAAAATATATTAAAATTATATGTTGTTATCGCACGCTTAATTTTATTATAACAACAGACAAGTTAATCACAATTTTTTCATACTTCAATTCCATTTCTCTCTTCTTCTCCTTTCACTCTCTTGCCCCCTTCCCCCCCCCCTCTCTATCTTTGTAAAAAAGAAAATATTATTTTTTGTGAAATACATATAATAATTATATGTATTTCATAGCTGTCTCTATGTTTACGAACGTTTAGAATACAAATTAAATTTTTTTTAATATTAGGGGAAGGTCATCGATACCGACATACCACTTTATTTTTAAATAATATTTCTTAAACAAAAGGTAAAAATACAACTTCAAAAACATAAATACAAACTAAAAAGTGTCTTCTATAGTATTTACAATATAAGCAGTTTTTATAATACTGTTTACATTTTTGCAATAATTAAGTTTTTCGTAAGTTATGCAAAAATGAGCGTCTGACAAAATGAGCTCCAAAACTGACATAATAGGCAATAATGCCAACATTCCTATTCTATAAATAAAGATATATCCTATTCTGTAAAGAAAACTAATTTATGAAACTATAAACATTTAAAATGACATAATATTATCAATAATACAGTCA